GGGCCGCACGTGGCTACGTGACGGCGATCGGGGCCGGCGGGGCTCGGCGGCTCCTCCTCCCCCGGCGCCCGCCGGCGACTGGGCGCCGAGGCTGCGGCGGGCGGCGCGGGGCGGGGGTGCTGCCTCCTGCGCGGCGGAGCGGGCGCAGCGGCAGCCGGGGCCGGAGGCGAGCGGCCCGCGCGGGCGAGGGCGGGCGGCGTCGCGGGGCGGCGGCGGGGGCTGCGGGGCATCGGCGGGGGCTGCGGGCGGGGTCCGCGCCCGCGGCCGGCAGCGCTCTCTGCGCCTCAGCCGGGCTTCGCCGGGTGCTGGCGGTGCGCTCTCCCGCCGCGGGGCTGCACAATGGCAGTCGTTCAGTAGGATGGATCCTGCCGTGGCTTTTGTTCTGCAGATCCACCCATCCTCCTAGCAGTCAAGTACCAGGCTATGGTTTTCTCTCTGGGGATCTTTCTTCCGCGTTTTGCCGGTGTCTCCGATGAGGTTTTGGCCTCGGCTGGGATTTCACTACCTTACTTTTCGTTTGGCTTCACGCTGAAAAAAGGGATTTCTTATATTTGCTCTCCACGCTTTTGGTTATAATCCAGTGTTGGTCTAGGGAGAACAACCGTTCAGCCTGGCTGAAAAAAAAGCATCCGTTGAAAAGTCTCAAAGAAATATACCACGTGAGGAAAAAAAACTGGGAGAAGATCGGAATATAATCGCTTTTTCTATGATAAAACTGGTGCCCCTCTTCAGGAGAACTGATCTCAATTTATTATTATGCAACCACAAGGATCTCTTCTTTCTCAGGGTGTATAAGCTGCTGGATTGCTTTTCGCCCAAATCAATGTGGTTTCTTTGGAACATTTTCAGCAAAGGATCGCATATGCTGCAGTGTCTTTGTGGCAAGAGTCTTAAGAAAAACAAGAACCCAACTGGTAAGCAATCCATTGCAATGCGTTGTTTTTCTTTAATGCTACCCTGTCTGTTGCTCGACGAGGTAGATCTGCAATCCTGCTGAGGGGAGAAGGGGGGATATATCGAGGCCAGCACGGACATGCATGTGCATACGTGTATGAATAAGCAAGGAGCGGTTTGTATTAGCTTCAGTCCCTATCACCACCGAAAAGGGGTAAAAAAATAAAATCAAAGGCGACCCTCGCCCAGCCGGCATCTCCTAGTTCCTATGTGCTATTTCCAAAGAGGAAACTTTTATATCACTACCCTTCTTGAGGGGAAGGCGGTGGAGCCCCCCCAGTCCCGATCCCGATGCAAGCCCCCCAGTCAGTTTTGGGAAGAGGAGACTGGCTCTCCTGTGCTGGTGTTAGCCGGCCCTGCCTGCGGTGGGTGAGTGTGCCGGGGCTCGGGTCCTGCACAGCACTTTCTGAATAGCTTGCAGTGTGTCACCCCACACGCACACACACCCACCCACCGCCTCGCTCGGCTTTCTAAAGTCAAGCCAGACACCCCCCTCTCCCGGCCTGGGGGCTCCCCGTTATCACTCACCCCCGGCATTCTAGGCCGGGACTGTGGAGGGTGGTGAGGAAAGGGGATGGACACTTTCTTGGGGCTTGTGCCCAGACAGCAACTCAGCCAGCTACGCCGAGTGGCAGCAGCAGCACCGCCGGGTTGGCTGTGCCGCTCCTCCGCCTCTCGCTGCCGGGATGACCCCTCTGTGCCACACACCGGTGTCTCTGCGTCCGTCCCTATGTCTGCCTGGCAGCCGGGATCATGCGCTTCGGTTCAGCTCGGCTCCGAGGGGGAAACTTGCAGTGCATTACATAAGAAATGCAAATGCAGGTGCTCTGGGCCGCCTGGTCCCTGGGGGTCACGCTGCTGCTGTTGCATCCCTCTTGCTCGGGGCGTCCGTGCGGCCAAGCCCGCGGCTTGGCGAGCAAGGTGCTCGAGAAGGGATGCTGGGCGGGCGGGGGAGCCGGGAGCTTTTCTGGGGAAATACCGGCCCTTCCCGCCGGCCTCTGGTCCCCCGCGACGCCTTGCTCGCTCGCCCCGGCCGGCACGCTGTCTGCAAGCACTTGCGTGCCTGGGGAGGCGAGAACCGCCGGAGCCCGGGCTGCGAGGGGAGGGATGCCGTGTGTGCGCGCTCGTGTGTGTGTGTGTGCCGCCTGCCCTGCAGTGGCAGCTCCCGAGCAGGAGGCTCCTGACGCTGGCACTGCAGTGTAGTAGATCATAGGCTCTCTGTTGCCTGACACCCCAACATCAACAAGCAGCAGCCCTGGCAGCCCGCACCCCTCTCCTTAAAGGCAGCCAGGGTGCCGGCTGCAGCTTTGCTCAGCCCAGGTCCGGTGCAGAGTCGAGGTGGGCACCTCGGCGGATTTACCCTTCCCCGCCCCCGGCTTCCGTTTGCCAGCTCGTCTCGTCCCTTTCCCCCGCCGCTGCCGCAGCAGTGAAAAGCAGCCACTTAGCATACCAAAGAGGCTGAAATGCCCCGCCGGAGGCTGCGCTCAGCCTCCCGCAAAGTGCCCTTCGCTCTACTCGTCCCTTAGCACTGCAGCCAGCCGGGGGCCACTTCACAGCCCTGTGCCCTCCCGGGCGGGATGGGCCAGACAGGGTCAGATCGGCCGACCACCTTGTGGCAGCCCTCGGGGATGCCCCTCTCCCCTCTCCGCCTGCCCGGCCGCGCACGGGGCCGTGACCGCGGGGAGAGAGCAGAGCGGCGGCGTGGCCCTGCCTGCCCTGCCCGCTGCCGGCGCTCCCCAGCCCTGGGGGGGCCGGCTCCAGGGCCGTGGTGCTCTGGGCAAGAGGAGATGCTCCTGAGGAAGGGATTTGGAGGGGGAGCGGCAGGGTGAGGAAGAGGGCTGGTGGTTTCTAGGCCTTTCAGTTTGCATATCGGGGGGTGAGGCATATACCCCTCCGCACACACACATCCTGGTCCACCGCTAAAGATTTGTGTTCTTTCCTTGCGGAGGGCAAGCTGTCAAGACATCGGCGCCTGAAGCCGAGTTGTGTCCCTCGGAGTGCCAGGCAACCGCAGCACAGCTTTCCACCTCCCCGGGGAGTTTGCCGCACTTACCTACTCCCTCTGCATGGGACGAGTGGATTTGGGTGGCAGGAGCGGCAGTACACCCTGCGTGCGAAGGGCTGGACTGGCCCGAGGAGGGCTGACCCCTCTTCTGAAGGAGTAGGGGGAGCAGGTGAAAGCAAGCGAGGTGGTCAGGGGGAAGGGAGCGGGCTGGGGGCGAGGAGCGGGCCCTGGAGGGTGCTCGCCCTCCGGCCAGGTCCGCGTCTCGCTGCCCGCCCGCACGGTCTGCGCTGCTCTGCTCCGCTCCCACTTGATCCCGTCAGAGCAGCCAGGACGCCGAGCCCAGCCAGCCGCACGCTCCGTCCTGGCGCTCCGTTCCGGGAGCGCCGAACTGCGGCTATCTGTCTGAGGAGGCTAATAATCCGCTTGGCCGGATTAGCTGGTAGCTCGGTCACAGGCGCTGTTGCTCTGGCGGCAGATCATCGCCATTCAGGCTGGGCTGGCCCGCGGGAGCGCAGGGAGCCGGATGCCCGTGCTCGCCTGGTGCCCCGGGCCGTGGGGCTGCCCCTCTGCGGCACTCGCAGACCCCCATCCCCGCTGCGGCACGGGCCCGCTACCGCCCCCGGCCCCCTGTGCCCGCCAAACTTTTCGGGAGCCACCGGGCTTTTCAGTCACAAAAGGCATCAAATGAGCGAGCATCTGCCGCTGGTCCAACCGTGCAGAAAATCCAGCAGGTTCGGCAGCTAACGCTGGCTGTAATTGCAGTTTATTTAGTTATTTTCGGCCTGCTGCACTTTTTTTGTCCCTTCCGAGAACTGGTCTGTTTCCAGAAACGGGACTGGGTGGCTCCTTTCCAAATGTGCTTTGCGTTTCCTGCTCACCGCTGGCTGCAGCCCCCGCTCCATGTGCGGACCCCCTCCCGGGCTCCCCTGCCCTGCCCGGGGTCTCGCCCCGCCAGCACCGCTAACCGGCACCGATCGGAGCTCCAGAGACGGGGCAAGTGCGGCAGGGAGGGATGGGCACTCCGAAGGGCTGTGTGTCAGTCTCTGGCAGGGTTGCATCAGGAGGATTTGGTTTTTTTGGTTGGCTGAAACCCCTTGGTTTCAAATTTGATGTCCTCGATAGAGGAGCTGCGTTTGATTGCTGCAATTATTTACCTCTTTATATTTCTTCATAAGGAGAAAAACTTTGGGAATCACAGATGTGGCTGTGTTTTCAGCTTCTGAATTTTTTTGAGTGTTCCTGAGTTTAAGGGTACTAAAATCAGTGAAGCCCCATATATCTGCAGTGTCCTGTCTGTCTGTGAAAATGTTTGCCATGTGTCAGGTTCCCTGGGCCTCACTTGCTTTCGTAATTATTTCTATTTAACTCTGCCCTTCCTGCTTGTCATACACACAGAGAAGACTTTAAAAAGTGCAAGACCAAAGAGAATATTTCTCACAAATAGTTAAAAGCTGCTCCAAATCATAAGTCAGAAAAACAGGACTTGTTATAATAAGATACTGCTCTCCTGGCTTTCCCACCACCATCCCCAGCCTCCAAACTGGGTATCTTCAGCTAGGGAATGGCAAAGTCATGGGGAGAATTTGAGGCCTGAGGAGAAGTGGGAAAGGAGATTATCTCTGGTTGCTTTTTGAAGCAAGTCCAGCAAGTTAATAGATTTTTTTACCAAATGATAGCTGTTTGGGTGCCCATGGGAAGTGTGTTGGCTGGAGTACTAGATACCCCCACAGCGGGAATCGCTATCATATTTCACTCCTGTGCCACTCTTGTGGCAACCCAACAGACAGATGGATCAGGTTTCCTCTCCATTCACTTCCAAGGAGAAGCATCTCTTCAGCACAGTCAGGGATGTTGACAGAACAGTAGATGGCAATTGGCATTACTATAAATATATTACTGATGGAGGATATAGTTTAGGAAATTAGTATCAATCTCACATCAATTTCAAATGCAAAACCTATTTGAAAAGCAATACATCTGAAATCTAGGCTGTGGCTGAACTGGAATCTCTGCATAGTCCCATGTTAATTTCCTACTCCATAAAGTAGCTTGGCTGGTAATTCCTGGTTGCTAATAATTTTGAAAAAGTTTCTAAGCACAGCTGTGTGAGGATCTGTTTGAAATGGAAGCTTGTGTCCTGCCCATAAAATGTATATCGTAGGTATGTGTCTTTAGCTGAATTCTGAAAAAATTCGGCCTCCCCACTGTCTTCCTTACTCATAGGAAACAAACCTCCCACCAAACCACAAAGACAGTAAGACCTGTGGGATCAGGTCCTTGAAGTTTCTTTCGTGTAGGTCCAAAAAGCAGCTCTGACTGCTTAAATACCGTAATTCCTGTAATGGGAATTGAGGGACGGTCTCTTTCTCTTGCTCAAATATAAAACTGCCTATTTACATGTATTTCACCTATTGAAGTTTTATCCTCTATGGAATACATTTCCTGAATTTATACAAATTTAATTATTCTTGATCAAATTAAATTGCATACTCTACTTATTAAGGGGTGAAATTTATGCCTGCTCATGCATCTCCCTACCGTAATAAAATATTTGCACCTAGTTCAATGTCTGCTAATGACAGGCCATTTGTAAATGAATTCAAATATAAAAAGGATGACTTAGGCTTGAGGAAAATACAAAAAATGTATTTACAGATATCATTAGTTTAAATATTTATGTGTATGCATTTTTTGTTTGAGCTTGATGTTTATTCTACTTAATCTTCTCTGATTATATTAAATATATTAATTTTAAGCTAAAATTCCTATTGATTTCAAATCTACAAAAGGAGTGATTTAGTGATTTCGATGTTCAGAATTTGTCCCTTTGTAAAGATTTTCTGCCCAGTAAATGCCTGTAAAAATATAATCTGGAGATGAGAGAGCTGCTTGAAATTGGAAACCAGTTTTTCAAAAGGACTTCATAAATCTAAAGAAATGGGAATTGGGCACTTA